TACACGGTTTGGTTTGGTCTATAATTTAATAAAACATTTTTAAAATAATTTGGTTTGACTTTCATTTAATTAAACCATTTAAAACCGAATCAAACCGCATTAATATTATATGATGTCATTGTGTTATTAATTCAATATTTTATCTAATTTGAAACTTAGGAAATACACCTTGTGAATATGACAACTTTTTTTGGGTCATTTCTTTTTTTATGTTTTTTTATCATTCGTTACTATATACAATGATTCTTTGTTTCATTACTGGGAGCAGTTACAATAGTTTTTAAAGTCCACGATCAGAGCAGTACAATCTATTATAAAGTCCATTAAAAACATCACAGCCGACGAGGAGAAAAATATCCAAAGGTAAAGAATACACACATTTTATTTATACACATTTTAGAGCTAGTTTATTAAATTTTTGGTTATGTTTTTTAGTATATTTTTTGTATATAATAAGTATCTGGATATTTCCATATATAAGAATACAAGTACATAGGATTATAAACTTTTGTCTTACAACTTGATTAAATAATAAAAAAAAAAATTTCTTTAAAAGAAAAGAAAAAAGAAAAATAAAAATATCATGGTAATAGAAATTCTTTCTACTGTTCTCTAATCAAATGGCATAACGACATTTATAAAATCTTTAAAAATAATATCATTGGCTCATAAATTAAATATAACGTTGTAGTTTGAATTTTAATTACAACATATGTAAAAAAAATAAAATTTTTATTGCATTATTAAGGTCAATCAAATGAAGAAATTTAACCATCCATAAGCCTAAAGATCTTGATGTGATTATGCACATTAATATCGTGTTCATCGACCTCCTCCTAGCAGATACGGTATTTGTGATATTTAAAGCTATCTACTTTATTTTATTAAATATATACTTCAATGTCTACTCTGATATTTTTTCAAATATTTGACTTATTTTTTATAATTAAATTGTTTCAATTTTAAATTTTCAATCTCTATATAAGTGAGAAGACACGGCTTGATTGATAACTTTTTTCATTTTTTTAATACATAAAAAATTTTCAAAAAATATTTTTTAATTAATTTATACCCAATTTGAACCGATAAATTTTATCCAAATGTCATTATCCTAGCTATGTTGTATTTTGTCTAACAGAATTGCATATTGTTTGTACCGATTGATTCTAACATTGTAAGCGAAATAATGATAAGAGTTATCATCACACAATTTCCAAAGTTCATTCACTAATTATAAAGTTGGAAGCATTTCATTTAAAAGATCTTCACAAGGGACTAAGCCTTTGTTGCCCAACTAGTCTAGTAATGTGTTGACAAGTAATTGTTTAATTAAAAAAAACATTGTACGAGAAATATATAAAAATAAAAAAAAAACATTAATTTAATGACACAGCTCACACGACATGCAACAGTATGTGGATAATAATAATAAAGAGGGATTTATTATTTTATTTCCTTAATAGTAGGATAAGGATAAGTGGATAAGGATAGATTGAAGACTGAAAATTACGTTACGGCTGACACCCATATTTCAATCCAATCATTTATATTAATTGCATTGTCCAATTGAAATATATCTAACTAATTATTCCATAATATCACATTAATTACATAAATTCTTTTATCAGAAAGTTCAAATGTTTAAGTTTATTCGTGAAAAGTTGTATTAGTGCTATCATATACCGATTATACTTGAGTTAACCTATAGTTTTTCATAATTTTTTAATTATATATATAGAAAGTAATTAACATTTCTTATAGTAATAAATTGCTTAATTTTTTTAAGGATTAAATTGCTTAATTAATGATCTGGTAAAAATTTTTATTGAAAAACAAATAAATATATGCTTAATTTTATTGTATGATTATTGTATAATGATTATCAAAGTATAATTTTTTTTTTATGAGCAAAAATTTCTTTTATTATTAAAATCCCGGAAAAGAAAGTGCAGAGCGAATATAAATCCCGGAAAAGAAAGTGCAGAGTGAATATATATGTATTAACCTCGTATAATGAAGTTCATTCAGATGTACGGTACACCTTTGCTGTCAAACGGTGATTTTAGGATACTTAATCTATGCTCGAGTGAGTGGATAGAAACCAAGTGTACCATGTTATGTAGTGATGCTTTCTGTCCTTTCTAAAGCTAAGATCTACTTAACGTCTAAGTCTATCGTAATAAACGCCAAAGAGTACGTTACTGTGCTTCCCCATCCATTAGATTCAATGCGAATCGAGGAGTATTTTAATCTAACGGTTATTATCTATCCACGAAGGCCTCACTAGTATATGCAATGGATTGCCGTAAGCACTGATATCTCAAAGTTTGAAGGTAAAAACCTTACAGTTTTCTATAAGGGTAAACAGTGAACTGTGAGAAAGCCGTTGTTGCCGGCTTGATAGTGTCATTTTCACGTTTTCTTTGTCGTCTACCGCAAATTCAAACAAAATAATAATGCCTGCCCACGTGTCGGTTTATACGAGCATCCACGTATATAGACTTATGCACGCACTTATTTGTGCCGTGTTTATCCACTCGACATAATTTCATGAGGTTAGGTATGTTTATAGCATTTAAACTTTTTTTTTTTTTTTTGAAATGTAGTATTTAAACTTGTTTAAGTACTTAACATAAAAAACTTACATTTAAGTATTTGGATTTTGCAAAAAAAGTTATAATTAATTGTACTTCGTTATATTATTTTTATTTAAAAATTAATGATCAATCGAATGCTATACTTCAGACCATCGTCGTTGTGAATAACATTAAATACAAAATTAATTTTTTATTTTTTATTGTTATATATATATTTTTTTCTTTCAATTCTAAAATAAATGAAAAACTGAGAAAGGAAAATAAATGAAAAGAAATTAGAAAATAAATAAAATAAAGCAACATACTTAAATAGATTATTTTTAAATTTTCAGGAACTTTATCTAAATGGATTTAATTGCATAGATTTAATTTAGATATTTAATTGTGAATCATTTTTTCATTCATACATTAAATTGGAAAAAGTTAAAATTATTATAAATTTATAATTACTGTTTATTATCCCACATGTGCATTTGTGGGTCCGCAGTAGTTGACGTGGCAGTTCCATATGTGACTTCCAGCTGTTTGCTAGCTGGCCTCTAACTCAATCGGGGCCAGGACCAGTGTTTTTTTAGCAAGAGATGAACTTCAAAATAACTTTTAACTAAGAATATTAAATTTCACGCAAATAAATTAAAGTCTAGTATAGTAATTCATTAGAGAGGAATTAGTTTTTTTTTCAAAAAATATAATTTATTAATAATAATATTAAAAATTACAAATATTTATATAGATCAGACATAGAACTCTACTATTAATAACTAACACAGGTGGACGATCTTTTTAACAGACCAAAAGAATTCATATTGTTTTGAACAATAAAATTAAAATTAAAAAAACATAATATTCAATCTCCTGCTTAGATTTATTCTTGATAAAAAATATAAATTTTCATAGTAGCACTTAGTCTGTTAAATAATTTGGACGACAAAATAATAATTCTTTTAGATTTTTTAACGACATAATATTCTTCATCCTACTTGGCAAATTAATATTTTTACGCCATTGATAAATTAACTTGGAATTAATTTTTATTATATGATTATAATTTGTAAACATATTGATTTTTATAATTTGATCACTTAATTTTAGTTTTTTTCCAACTAAATTGAATAAAACCTTTAATTAGTGATTTTAATTGATATTTACGATGGAATCAAGTTGATGGTTGGCATCATTAAGCTTGTGGGGTTATCAAATTCTTTTTCAATTAAACTTCAAGTTGGAGAGAGAAATTAATATTTAGACAAAGACATACACCTTCAAATTTATTCAGTTCCGACGTTTTTTTAATAATTTGAATTCATTATTGAATTATTTAATTTTTTTTATTAAAATTAAATCATTATTTAATTAGGAGTAAATAAAAAATTTTAAATTATCAGTAATAACAAATTAATATACTAAATATTATTGCGACACATTAAATTTTATTAATTTTCATATAGAGACTGAAATAAAAATAAAAATAAAATTAAAATACAAAAGAAAACTTTGTTTAATTTTTCTAAAATTCCAAAAGAGAAAATATTCTTTACTATTGTCTTCCTTTTCGAATTGAAGAAGACTTGTTCAGTTAAATAATTGATTTATAGTTTTAAATCTCGGTTAAATAAAAATTTAATTTTAATAAAAGTAATAGTTAAATGACTTTATATTAGTAAATAAAAATTTATAAGCTTAACGAGTAAAAATTAAATAAATTTAAGGGCAAAAATATGTGTTTTTCACCCATAATTTAAGTCTCAATTTTATTGAAATTTCAGTGATTCATAGCCAATGTATTTATGTGTGATGAATTTTGCTTAATTTGGGTTAAGGAATTCAAACACGTTATGATTGTTGATTGGAATTTAAAATTCTTAGACAAAATTTCGAAATCGAGAGGCAAATTGCCATTAGGCCTCAAGATTGGAAACATCCGATAAGTCGGGTCAACCGAGACACGGATCTCTATGTTATCCTGCACAGTTCTCACTCTATTGCTGTCAATGGGAGATCGACTATTTGACAGGTAAGCCTATATGAGGCCTGCTAAAGCGAATAGTAATAGGCCACGTGGTTTTACCATCCGGACAGCTAATTTTCGTTCAGACAAAAGCTCTCCTCTAAATTTGTGGGCCCCATTGCCCGCATGATGCCTTATGGCGGACACACCGAAGGCCAAACCAAAAGGATAAGAACCAGAAACACCGCTTCACTGTATCTCTAGTGTATGCTTTCCTCTATTAACTACCGTCGGATCAACTTAGCAATTTTAATCACATCCAACGGTCTTTTTTTTTCTGATCTTCTCCAAATTATTTGTATATTGTTAATAAAAAAAGAAATTGCTCAAAACTCATAAAAAAAGAAATGAAAGCAAAATTTTTAATTTTTTATATCAATATCATATGTTCTCTCTGTCTTTGGCAGATTGTGTTTATAAGGGTGAAGTTGAGATAGATTCACTGATAGAGGTACAAAAAAAAGGCATTAAATTTTAACCCTTGAAAAAGAGAAAAAGATCTTAGCTTTAGCAGCTTAGAATTTTTCTTTTTGTATTTTTGGTTGGGTAAATATCAAGTTTGCCACACCACAAATCAAAAAATGGAATTCCATTATCAAAGATTTGGTAATTTCTTGAACTATTCTTAATTTTATTATCACAATTAATTTTGGGTGGTCTCTGTTTAAATTGATATTTGGTTGGTCACTATTATTTCTTTCACTGAATCCTTCTTTCTTTTTAGGAAATTGCAAATAGTGCAAGTGTTGTAGCAATCTTTAGTGGATATCTGGTTGCTGCGGCAGTATATGTTTTCCTTTAGCTCTATAATCTTGCATCTATTCCATTCTTTTCTATTTTTCTCTTTCCTTTTAATCTTGATAGCAAGAAACTTCTTGGTTCTGTCTCATCTTTTGTTTTTTTGTTGTTTTTTCTCTTCGATTCATTTCTATCTATGCTTCTCTGAAATTTCCCTTCCCTTTCACTACCTCTTTACATGATTTTCTTCCTCTTGCTCTGCTAGTATTTTCTATGAACTTGAAAATTAGGCTCTCTTTCTTGTTTTAGAACGACGTAGTGACCTTGTTTGAGCAAATCTGGAAGAGGGTGTATATTTTAATTTGCACTTCACGGAAGTTGATAGTAGTTCCTTGATTTTCAGGATCTTATTAGTAGCTTAAATTTTGAGAAAAGGGCATTCTTTTTTTTGTTTGATGACAGATTTCTTGGCCACTTTGAGCCAAAGAACTTAATTAGCTTGTTTTCTTGCAAATACCGACCAAAAAAATACAGAAATGGTGTCAAGATCATACTCAAATCTTTTAGAGCTTGCTTCTGGTGAGTCTCCATCATTTGGCCGCATGAGCCGCCGAATCCCGCGGATTATGACGGTAGCCGGAATAATTTCTGACCTAGATGATGACCCATCTGAAAGTGTATGCTCTGACCCATCATCTTCTTCAGTCCAGAAAGACAGAATAATTATTGTAGCCAATCAGCTGCCAATCAGGGCACAAAGAAAATCGGATGGCAGCAAGTCTTGGATTTTCACTTGGGATGAGAATTCACTTCTCCTCCAGTTGAAAGATGGATTAGGAGATGATGAGATTGAAGTTATTTATGTTGGTTGTTTGAGAGAAGAAATTCACCCTAGCGAACAAGATGAGGTCTCACAAATACTTTTGGAGACCTTCAAATGTGTGCCTACATTTCTCCCTCCTGATCTTTTTAGCAGGTACTATCACGGGTTTTGTAAGCAACAGTTATGGCCTTTGTTTCATTACATGTTGCCTTTGTCACCGGACCTTGGTGGTAGGTTTAATAGATCATTATGGCAAGCATATGTCTCTGCAAATAAAATTTTTGCTGATAGGATTATGGAGGTAATTAACCCGGAAGATGATTTCGTGTGGGTGCATGACTATCATCTTATGGTGCTGCCAACTTTTCTTAGGAAGAGGTTTAATAGGGTAAAGCTTGGCTTTTTTCTCCACAGTCCTTTCCCTTCATCAGAGATTTATAAGACATTGCCTATTAGAGAAGAGATTCTTCGAGCTCTGTTAAATTCTGATTTGATTGGTTTCCATACTTTTGACTATGCAAGGCATTTCTTGTCTTGCTGTAGTAGAATGCTTGGTCTTACCTATGAATCCAAAAGGGGATATATAGGCCTTGAGTATTGTGGTAGGACTGTAAGCATAAAAATTCTGCCTGTTGGTATTCATATGGGTCAGCTTCAGTCAGTTTTGAGACTTCCAGAGACTGAAGCGAAAGTTAGGGAGCTTATTAAGCAGTTCTATGATCAGGGTCGGATAATGTTGCTGGGGGTGGATGATATGGATATTTTTAAGGGTATAAGTTTGAAGCTGCTGGCAATGGAACAGTTACTTATGCAGCACCCAGAGTGGCGAGGCAAGGTAGTGTTGGTGCAAATAGCAAACCCTGCAAGGGGTAAAGGAAAAGATGTGAAAGAAGTTCAAGCTGAGACTTATTCCACGGTGAAGAGGATTAATGAAGCATTTGGAAGGCCAGGATATGATCCTGTAGTCTTAATTGATGCACCGCTTAAGTTTTATGAGAAAGTGGCGTATTATGTTGTTGCTGAATGTTGCTTGGTCACTGCTGTAAGGGATGGAATGAATCTTATTCCTTATGAATACATAATCAGTCGCCAAGGAAATGAGCGATTAGATAAAGTGTTAGGACTAGAATCGTCTGCCTTGAAGAAGAGTATGTTGGTTATTTCTGAATTTATAGGATGTTCTCCATCTTTGAGTGGAGCAATTCGAGTCAACCCATGGAATATTGATGCAGTGGCTGATGCAATGGACTGCGCACTGGAAATGGCTGAGCCAGAAAAACAACTTCGACATGACAAGCATTACAAATATGTTAGTACTCATGATGTTGGTTATTGGGCACGTAGTTTTCTTCAGGATTTGGAGAGGACATGTCGTGATCACGCAAGGAGGAGATGCTGGGGTATTGGTTTTGGATTAAGCTTCAGAGTTGTAGCACTTGATCCAAACTTCAGGAAGCTCTCAATGGAGCACATTGTCTCAGCTTACAAGAGGACCACAATTAGGGCAATTCTTTTGGATTATGATGGTACTCTAATGCCCCAGGCTTCAATTGATAAGAGCCCGTCTCCTAAGTCAATTGACATCCTAAATAGCTTGTGCAGAGATAAGAACAACATGGTTTTCCTTGTTAGTGCAAGAAGCCGCAAAACACTTACTGATTGGTTTTCGCAGTGTGAAAAATTGGGATTAGCTGCAGAACATGGATACTTCCTAAGGTAAATTGGTTTTAATTTGAAAATTGCTATTATTGCTGGATTATACATGGTTTAACTTGAAGTTATTGTTCATATGGATACAGGCTAACACGAGATGCAGAGTGGGAAACATGTGCCCCTGTAGCAGACACTTCTTGGAAGCAGATTGCAGAACCTGTGATGCAGCTTTATACTGAAACAACTGATGGTTCCACTATTGAGGACAAGGAAACTGCACTAGTGTGGTGCTATGAGGATGCAGATCCGGACTTTGGTTCATGCCAAGCTAAAGAACTTCTTGATCATCTTGAAAGTGTCTTAGCCAATGAACCTGTAACAGTCAAGAGTGGACAAAATACTGTGGAGGTTAAACCTCAGGTTTGCATCAAAATATTCCTTTCTTATGTTGTAATGTTGGTTTCAAGTTCCTTATTTCTGCCATATATCATGTTGACCTGTATTTGAATTAAGATAATTTCAATTAAAAATCTAGAAATATTTATAGAGGTGCTATTGGGCTGGTTGGATGTCAATGAAGTTCACAATCACTTGATGAAGTTTTTACATAATGATCATAATAAACATAATGATAATAGATTCGTAGTAATAGTAGAAAAGATTAGCCCATGAGAAGAATTCCGCATGCAAATCCAATCCACCTTTAATTAAGTTTAGATTGATTTATGTTGCCAATTATTTTGGAGTTAAGGGTAGAAGCATTACCTTCTGAGCAGTAAAAATACATGTGCTCATCTCCTTTACAAGATCCAGCTTGTTAGGCAGAAATCAACTTTAATCAAGGAAAAGAAACAAATATAATTACCAAATTCTGTAATGTATATTATTGCACTGACATTAATCCAGAAAAGGTTGAAAATAATGAGTGTCGACTGTTGAGTCCCTTGTAGTAATTGTGGTGTTAAATGAATCATAATGCTCACAGACGAGTGTGTAAAGTGTGATATAAATGGGTTTTGTACTCTGATTTTAGCCAGGGCCAAATGGACAAAAAGCATGCATTCAATTCTTTAGTTTAGACTCATCTGACCAGGTTGCCCTTCTTACTTTTGGTAGAATTGTATGACTCCCCGATGAACATGCGTTACTTTCAGAACAGCTTCCTAGTCAACCAAGTTATAAAGGTTCTGATTTTAATTATAATTTTGTAAATGGTTTGTAATGAGCTTGTATGCATACAGGGTGTAAGCAAGGGGCTCGTAGCCAAATGCCTACTTTCGACAATGCAAGAAAGGGGAATGTCACCAGATTTTGTTTTGTGCATTGGAGATGACCGGTCCGATGAAGATATGTTCGAGGTAATTGCAAGTTCCATGGCAGCCCCATCTATTGCTCCTAGGGCAGAAGTGTTTGCTTGTACTGTTGGTAAAAAACCAAGCAAAGCTAAATATTATCTGGATGATACAGCAGAGATAGTTAGATTGATGCAAGGTTTGGCTTCGGTTTCAGAACAAACAGTTACAATACTGTGAGCTTGAATGAACGTCGTACTCTCTTCTTTTTCGCTGTAACTGTAAGCATGTAGGTCAAATGGTATAGTTTTCTCTCTTTCTTTCCCGGCTTTCGTTCCATGTGTAAATTATCATAGTGTTTACTTGAGAAAAACTGAGTTATGGGAAACTCTTTTTTGTGCTTGATCTCTTTGTAGTGAAGTTGTAAATAAGTATATGTTTGTGCCATGAATTTGAGTTTGCTGAACGGCATTTGTCTCTACATTCTTCTTCTTGAAAAATTTCTCAGCTCAGAATTTTTTTATATGATTCTCCTGATTAAGAATTCTCTTGGTTTCTTGATTTTGATGCAGAGAAATATGTCTCTGCTAAAATGGAATGGTCTTGTCACATTTTTTATCCAGGGAAATCTGCCCAATTGAGCTCTTCTAGCTATGTTCTTGACTGCCAAATCGGCCATCTGTTGGTTTTCTTGGTCCTATTTATTTGTGATTTTCTTGGGGGGAATTTAGGCAGCTGTAGAGATTCTGGTGCTAATAAAGTAAAATGTCTTTATACATGGCCTACACGACACATTCACATTCGCATCTTAAATGGTTCTTTTGTTTCTGTCTGGTTTTGTCATTTTAGTACATTGGCTGGCTTTGACCAATTTGTATAAAATGAGCTCTTCAAGTACTAAGCCTGATATATAAAATGAGCTCAAAGTGTTAAAAACTTATTAATCATTGAACACTACAAATCCCAACAGCACAGTCTTCTCCAGAATTTGCAGAGAAAGCAGTAGAAATGTCTCTCTGGTTGGCTTTGCTCAGGGTGCCATCTTCTTCTTCCTCTTCTTTGATCGACAAGATGTTCCTCTTCAAAATGTTAAAAGGCCATTGTCTACTTGTAAATTTTTAAGGAATTCCTGAATTGTTATTATTAGTTATTACTAGCTGTTTTTGTACAATTTGGCAGCAATCGGACGCAGACGTTCTCGACGGACGCCAATCACAGAAATAGGGTAAACTGAAAAGTGACCCGTCTTTCCAGTGATTCAAACGACAAGCTGTTCCTTTGGTTGCATTTAAACGCGGTCGTAGGACTAGCAAACGTGCATTTCAGTTTATATTTTTTTTAGACATTAATTTTGGTCAAAATTACTATTACCCCTCTACTTTTTTGGCAAAATCACGGTTTCCGTTCCTGTAATAAACGTCTGAACTGTTTAATTATTCCATTTAAAACATTTTATCTTTTCTTTATGTTTAATACAGTATGACTATTTAGTCCTTCACATTTATTGTCGAATTACTATTTGATTTCTCAGTGATAATTTTTGGATGAAGTAACTAAATAATTTAACAAGATTAAATTCCAAAAATAAATCAGTAATTTTTATCAAACAGCAGCAATGTAATAGTAATTTCGACTAAAGTTGCATAGAATAAATAATTAATTACCTTTCTTTTTAAAGAATATTCTCTCTCTTTGGGCCAATGGTAAAAAAGGCTGTTTAGTGTTTGTATTTGCAACTTAATAAAAGCCTGAACAAGTTGATTAGATTGGTCTCAGTGTTCCAAACTACAAAGCCCAAGCCCAGATCCATTGAGTACATTAAAGAATTAATTAAAATAAGCAATTTTTGGAGTATCCGAATTATTCTTTTTAAGAGGCAACAAATTATCACGCTCTATAAATAAATAAATATATTATAATTACTGATTTAAATATACATTTCATACTATAATTAAATAATATTTAAAAGAATTTAAGTTTTCCGAGCTTTATTTTAATAATTATAAAATAATTATATTTAAAATATTTAACGAAAATCGAGTCGATTTAAACTGAACTGAGTATGTTTTCAAATTAAGCCCAAATAAGAAGAATTAAAGTCAATTTAAATCGAGATTGAAGCTCAAAATTTTCAAATGATAAAGTCGAAATTCTTTATCAAACACATCTATATGAATAAGTTTTAATAAGAAAAAAGTTGTACATGGAAGACCGACTTGGTAGTCAAGGGAGACCAGACTTGCTATTTCTTCAATTCTAAATCTCCATCATCAAAATCAACCATTTGGCCTCAATGTAAATGGACAGTTTCATGCTACGTTTGTTTCAATCTCCTTATTAATTTCAAATTAATACTTATACAAATTAATGTAAATTTAAAATTATTTTCCACTTGCACTTTTTTTCTATTGTTTAAGTTTTTTGCAAATCAAATTAAGGAAGTAATAAAATTACCTAAATTATACTAAAATGCTTATTAATTTAGTTAAATACTCTTTATCTCCCATAATTATTCAAACCTATTTTTTTTTTTTCATGAATCCGTCATTAAAATTAAGTGAGAATAAAAGAAAGGTGTTAGATAGATTTATTACATAAAATGGTAGAATTGAAAAATAATTAATTAATACGTCTCTAAAAAAAGATATATAATTTTAGATAAAATAACTTCTCTAAAGCGAAAAATAAAAATAGACGAAAATAAAATACTATTATATAGTAATAAATAAATATTCAATTAGACTTGATTTTCAGATTTGCTTTGATCCATTATTTGAATTAAACAAAATCTAATATTAATGGCATCAAAATTTAAATTCAAGGTGAGTGGAGTTCAAATAATTTATAAGTAGAATTTAATTCCACAAACAAAATCAATCAAAACGAGGCCATCAAGAACACGCCAAGAGAATCAAATCCATCGGCATAGAAATGACATAAACGTCAGATTCACCGCATCCACACGCAAAGCTCGAACTAGCCCATATATAAATGATTGGTGGGTTCTCTTCTTCTAAGATTTCACACTAGCTAGCTACTGCTAGTCCTCTTCTCCTCAAAGGTGTAAACGGGTTTAGAAGAATAAGTCCTCTTCATCTATATTTCATACTTACAGGAAGAAGAAATAAATACGTGTGGGGACTTTTTATATTATCAAAGCACAAAAACATCATTGTCCATCACGAAATATATCATTGTGTATTGGAAAACAATACAGTGGAATTTGAGATTTCTTTTCTTTTTTTTTTTTTAAATTAATGAAAAATAATAATGGAATTGTGAAAATATGATGAAATTTGAATAATTTACATAATTCAAAGCATGAAATTAAGTTATCATAGTTTAATGTTTAGTTTAATTCATATATAATTTAGTTTCACACGAAAACAAACTTGTTAAAATTTAATTCCTATATAGTATTTATTTGATTTTTGCTCATAAAATTCGTATATGGTATAAAAGCACTAGCTTGTCAAAGCTATTGATTCTTTTCTAGTGTCCTCCTTATCCTTTTCATCATCAAAATTAGTAAACTTGGATATTAGAGTTTTTTTTTTAAAAAAATTATTATTATCCACATGTATTGAGATTAAATCTTGCCCCCATTGGATGAACTCACTAAAGGTTAAAATGTTTCACCTGTGAAGATGGAATAAGGGTGTAACGGATCGCAAAACCGAAAAGCAAACTAAAATTGAAAATAATTCAGTTTGAATCGGCTTTCGGTATTTTTAAAGTTTAGCTCATTCTAAAGTGAAACTCTTGATAACATTTAAAAGAAAAAAGTGTCAATCTATTCATCTAATATTCACTGATTCTAATATTAAGGTTATACAGATTAATGGTCGAGTGCATTTCACGCTAGAAATTAAAATTTAGATATTCGCTAATAACGAGTCAACAGATGATTAGTGAAATTAAGGCGTGTTTAAGCAGTGCTTCTTGCTATGCATTATGGGTTTAGGATTTGTTTTATTCTTGTGATTTTGTACTCTTTTCGTGACTTTCTAGGACACGTCCATCTTTGTCTTTACATTTTCGTCATTTGGTCAAAAGACAAGTCAAAAATTATTTCATTTGATTAATTTTTTAAGTACTCAAAGCGTACAATTATTTCTTAATTTCCAAGGTTTCACACTCTTATCTACAGTACGATCGATATGTTGTATTATTTTGCTGAAATAATAATAATAATTAGCATAAATAGAAGTATGTGTAACTTTTCATTTGGAGACAAAAAATTAAAAAAAGAGCCCTTTACAGATTGTGGTTTCATGCATACAACAACCATATAATAGCCCTGTAATTAACTGTCCAAGAAAACAAAACTTCAACGTAATTACAGCAAGACCAAGGTCTTCGACGTTGATTCTTATTTTGTACAACAAAGAAAAGAACAGCAATCAACAAATATTATTACCCATTACACTAATTATTCTAAAACCAACAAAATGGATTGCCCGAGTAATGATTAGATGAACTAATTCTATTTTCATTTGATCTCAGTCGTCCATTTGGTAAATTTTCTTTATCAATTATTGAATACTAAAACACACGGAAATACATATTATATTATGTTATATTATATGTTATATTCAACACGTTTTGCTGATTATTAAGGAATTATTAAACTTGTTAGACAAATTATTATATTTTAATAATTTTATAATTTGCTGGAAACTTATTATATGTATGATGATATGCTTACAAATTCTATGGGACCAATGTAGTACTTCGTCAACATATAACAGAAGTACCTTTTGTCTTGTGAGTTGCAAGTTTATTATTATTATTATTATTATTTATGTTAAAAAAAAAAATCAATCAAGCTATATAATATTGTTACATGCCTTCTAAATCTCAACTTTCTAATTGATATATTACAAATAGATAATATGATAGTTGTGTTTGGTTATTATATAATTAAACAAAAGCTTGTGATTAATATTAATTGCTTTTGTTTGAGTGATGAAATCTTTTGCTTCTAATGTTTATTAGTTGATTAAACAATTAGGTGTCATTTCTTTTATTTTTTTAAAAAATTTTGAGTATATCATATGTATTTTTTTTTTTTACCGCATCACTTGATCTTCACATTATTTTTTACGTTATGAATAGCATTCAAATAAAACCCTCTTAATATAAGTTTTGAACCCTAACCTTTTAAGGTAAAGTATATATGAAAATAAAATCTATGGTTCTTAACTCCACCTTGATTAGGTGTTTAATCATATGGTGAAAAAAGAAAAAGTAAAAACTTCCAATGAATTGTGAAATGATATATGCAATGTGAAATTGAATTTGTTGAGAAAAAAAATATTGTATATATATAATGACAAAATTAAAAAAGATAATACATAAAAAGAAAAAGAGACTTAATTTTCTTATCGGTAAATAAATTTATTTTATTATATATTGCTAAGAAAAAGATACGTGTTAACGTCACGGGTTCATCCCCATTTAAACTTCTTAAGGTGATAGAGAAAGGATACAGAAAACCTTAACCGCAGGCTGTGGGCATCCGATTTTATTATAACATGGACAAGCTAGCCATTGCCACCCCTTCAATTTTTCACCTATTGGAAATTCTTGCCATCCGTAATTTCGGTTTTCTTATTATTACACAAAAAAAACAAAGATTAAAATAAAACTTTGAAAGAAAAAAATATCTTTTTACATTTTTTTAACATTCGTGTATCTATTCCCAGATCGAAGATAATATTTAAATAAAATTTTCCAAACAAAAAAAATTTTATATTTCATATTTTACTAAGGTTATGTTTGTATAAACCGGATTTATGAATCAAACCGATCAAAATAAATGTTTTATAAATTTATCATGAGTCTTGTACTATTACAATCAAGAAACAGCTAACTAATTAATTGAAAAGAATAAAAAACAATTTTCCCATATCAGACAATTAATGGTCAAAACCAAGAAATTGACGAAACTTCCTTTATTTTACTTTACTACTTAATCAAAACTTCAAATGGGAACACAGAAATATACTCTCTCTTGACCTTCTCTACAATCCACTATCTTTTCTCTTCTGTTTTCAGTTTTCTCTCGTAACTATAAATCTCTTATCTCTCTCCGCCCTCTCTAACATTTTCCATCAACCAAGAAACAAATAAAGAAAGAAAAGATGGACAATGGAATAGCAGACATGGCTCTAAGCAGCCTGGGCAAAGGAATGGATTTAACATCCGATTTTCGTCTCAAGTACTGTAAAGGCAAACAAAGATTAGTTCTCTTAAACGAAACGGAAACAAGAGAACTTGCAGTTCCTGGTTTTGGAGCTATTACTAATGTCTCCATTGATATCAAATGTGATAAAGGCGATCGAGTTCGATATAAATCCGACATTCTTGAATTCCAACAGGTACAATTCCTTCTTTAAATTCTTTAATTTCGTAATCGTACAATTTTAGAGATGATTGCGTCATACCAACAAGCTTTACTTATAAACTAGTGCAGATGTCGGAGCTTTTTAACCAGAAATCATCGGTGCCCGGAAAAATTCCATCGGGATTGTTTAATGCCATGTTTGGATTGGAAGGAGGAAGCTGGGCAGCTGATGCAGCTGACACTAAATATTTAGGAATGGACGGTTATTTCATTGTTCTTTTTGATGTCCATATTGACCGTTACCCGTTACTTCTCTCCGATGAGGTTATTAATGCTGTTCCATCTTCATGGGATCCGCCCGCACTGGCCAGGTATTTTACGTTTTCTTTAAATAAAATAAATATTATATATTTTTGCTAATTATCTTAAAATAAATAATATATTTTTTTTTAGAATTAGAAAAGGAGATTTTTTTTTTCATTAATGAGCTTTGAATGTTTAGTTCTTGATTTATTTATTTATGATTGATACAGGTTATTAAACTTGTGTAGATGTGAAGTTTTATTAATATGGATTTATTTATTTTGTTTGGTTGGTGGTTAGTTTGAGTTTTTTAGTCTATATTTTCATATTTTTCATTTGAAAATTGAAATTAAATTAATTACGTAGCAAAGCTTGAATTGGTCATTCTTGAGAAAATTGTTGACGTGGTTTATTTCCGGGATATCATCAATTTGTATGGTAGCAGTAGTACCAAATTCAGGAATTTGAATTTGTCAAAGGGGAGTAGCTAGAAGTATCTTAATTTGAAAATATTCAATTTGAATATAAGACTAATTTTATGACGCAATATCTTATTTTTTAGAGTTTGAAGCTCGGGATTTACATCTCTCACCTAATTATTATAGCCAGTTGACTTAGACCTTTCATCAATTTATAAAAAAAAATTATAAAAGAAAAAAAAAATTCTCCTAATTGTTTGTATCATCTAGCAAGTAACCAAAACTTGGATTGTTTACCTTTCATTTTTCTTCTTTCTTTTCCTGATGAACTTTAAATATTTTGGAATAGAAAAGACATCTTCTAGATTCTGATGTTTGACCTAGAAAAAAAAATTGAAAAAAAAAAAAAAATTTAGCAAAACCAACTTTCTCTGTGTCAAGTCTATAAAATGAGACGTGGCTGCATATACTCCTATAAATTAATAATTATTATTTTTTAATATAATATAATTATTTCAAACACAATTCTGCATTTCTTTTTTGACCAATTATTCATGAATATACAGAAATCATGTGTGAGTTTAACTTGAAGTCAAGGTCAACAAAATCAGCTCCTCTAAAAGGAAAATATATACATAGCTACTTAGTCTAGTGATAATCCAGTTCATTTTTTATAATTAGTTATAATAATATAAAAAAAATAGAATTAAATTTCAATTGTTCTTAGGATTAGAATGTGAATTTGCATACTTTTACATATCCCACCTTGATTTCAAAGTTTCACATATATATTTAATTTGTTTCAACTTTGAAATGATATTAATTAATGCAATTTTGCATGGAAATTTTGGGTGGCAATCAAACCATAGTTTTTACACTAATTAAATAATTGTTTTATACAAAATACCAATGTTGAAGGTTGTTCATAAAAATTATATAATAATATACAAATTATAAATAGGTTAAATTATAGTCTTGATTATTTTTGATATCATATATTTCAAGGTCCTTGGTAGAATTTTTTTTTCCATTTTTCAAATTATGGAATGTTAGGTTGGTTTGGTGGACAATATTGAACTTACCAAATCAAACTTGTTCATGTCATCGAAATTAAATGGGGTTGATGTCATCAAAATTGAATGTTTTGACAGGTTCATCGAAAAATATGGAACTCATATCATTGTGGGGTTAAGCATAGGAGGCCAAGACGTAGTGTTAGTCAGACAAGATAAATCTTCCAATTTAGGTCCATCTGAACTCAAGAAACACTTGGATGACCTTGGAGACCAGTTATTTACAGGGACTTGCAATTTTATCCCCAAATCTAGAGACCAAAAGAACAAGGTTACTATTTTTTAATTTACCCTAATTTTCACTAATTATCAGTATATTAATAATTTATTAACTGTGTTAATAATTAATTATTTGCAGGCACCACAAGCATTTAATGTGTTTGATCCACAACCTGTTACCCTCAATAGCTACTCATCCATCAGTGCAAAAAATGTACGTTCTAACCCTTATTGCAAAAGTAATTAAAATATTGTTTTAAAAAAATTTTATTAGTTAATATTCTCATCTATGACTAACAGTAATAGAAATTTACACAATCTCTAGAATTAATGTAAAGATTTGTTTTATATTATTATTATTTATAAAGCTGAAATTGGAGTAGTGGTGTTTATCCAGGGAATTACAGTTATATGTACGAAGAAAGGTGGAGATCCATCAGCTAATAGTCACTGTGAATGGCTCCTAACAGTGCCATCAATGCCAGATGCTATTCATTATAACTTCATACCCATAACTTCTCTCCTTAAAGGTGTTCCTGGCAAAGGTTTCTTATCACATGCTATAAATCTTTATCTTCGATGTAAGTTCTTCATTTTAATTGTCAAAGCTAATTAAATGGAAATGTAGCAATTAAAATTTAATTTTTTGTGTTAATTTCAATCTTTAATCTTTAAAATTTTATTTTCTATTGCAGACAAGCCTCCTATATCAGATTTAGAATACTTTCTTGAATACCAATCTCACAAGATTTGGGCTCCCATTCACAATGACCTTCCGTTAGGTCCTACAACAAATATGGCAAATCCTTCACCAGCTCTCCATTTCAACCTGATGGGTCCTAAACTATATGTAAACACTTCTCAGGTATGTACAGATTATCTAAAATTTCCTGATTTTCCCCCTAAAATGCTTCGTTTTCGAGTCACCAGAACTATATTTTCAGCCATAATGAAATGTAATCAATTATTTTTATGACCCATCAGGTTGTTGTTGGAAAGAAACCAGTAACAGGAATGAGATTATATCTAGAAGGAATGAAAGGCAACAGATTAGGAATACACCTTCAACATCTATCAGACACACCAACAATGTTCGAAAACAAGATGGACGACACGCAACTATGGCGAGGATCAGAAGAAAGTAACGATAGTGGGTTTTTTGAATTGGTTTCTCGGAAAAAATTCTCTCATATTTGCACAGCTCCAGTAAAATACAATCCTGCGTGGACAAAAACAAAAGACGTATCCTACATTGTAACAGGAGGTCAACTTCACGTGAAAAAACATGACTCGAAATATGTTCTTCATCTTCGTCTACAATATTCTAAAGTTTCAGGGTTTTTCATCTCCCAATCCCGCTGGATTGAAGCCTCGTCAGGATTTTCACAGAAATCCGGCTTACTATCTGCCCTGAGTACTACTATATCAGGAAATCCAGCGAAGGAGACGCTGCAGGCAGTGGTAGTGGATTCTAGTGTTTTTCCGTCAGGACCGCCAGTAGCGGCACAGACGCAGAAGCTATTGAAGTTTGTGGATATTTCACAGCTTTGTAGAGGGCCTCAGGATAGTCCTGGGCATTGGTTAGCTACCGGAGCAAAATTGGATTTGGAGAAAGGGAAAATATGTCTGCAGGTTAAGTTTTCTTTATTAAATATCTGTTCTTGAAACAGAAATTAATTTTGCTTGAGAGTTTTATATATTTTAAATATATAGGCTAAGAGTTTTATATATTTTAAATATATAGGCTATAGTTCTCAATGCTACACCAGAATTGTGCACATATATATAGCCTGGTGTCTTTGAGAGGAGAAATGGAAATTGTTTTGTTCTTAATTAATTCTTATAGTGTATATATGGGAAAATTCAGCAGTTTTAATTTTGGTTTATTAATAATTAATTATTTATTAAAATTCCCTATGTTTGTATGAGACTTTGTTAGATGGTTCGATCTACAAATTGATGATCTTGTTTGGAAACACAAAAATCTTTACCTGTTGTTGAGGAGAGTTTTCCGAACGACAGGGAAAATTTTCGTTGTCGTCTATCAAGTTTTACGATAACAAGTTCATTAATTATAGTTACACTTCCTTTCCTTAAGAAACAACTTTTTAGGTATATAATATTATTAGGAACAGAGAAGTCAGAATCTTTTCAATTTTGCTGTGAAAGCTACTTTAAATTTGTTAACAATATGCAAAATAATGATAAAATATATATAATAGCGATGAAAATCATTTTGGTTAGACACACAAAATTACCTTTAATTCCATATCTTGGGCTCTCATATATAGTTTTCAAATTATTTGGGCTTTGTTTTACAAAATTTAAGCCCAAAAAATGTTGTTTTTCTTTTCGGCCCAAAAAGAATTTTTCACGGAGACACGATGGAAGATAAGATCTCTGTTATTAGGACACCTAATTGTGAATTTCTTTGTTTCTTTCTACTGTTGGAGGCCCATTAAGCCTTGGGCTAAAAAATAAATGGCTTATTCTCTTTTCTAATTGCATTATTATTAACTATAATTGTCGAACCATATAAACCTATCAATTTTTATTTAAAACGAACTTCTTTATTACAGAGTTTAGTAGTAAATGTATATACAACCTAACAATAAATTAATGTTTGAATTTTCTCTTTTCAAAAAAAAAAAAAAAATTCCTATTTTATCGGTAAGATTTTGTTTTTATCCATGGTAATTAAAGGTGAAACTGAGCCTTGATCCAAATGTCAAAAACTAAATTCATCTCTAGAGTTGTGAGAAACATAATAGATTAATAGTAATAATAAAAAGAAATTGAAAATGAACTATGCTATAAAATAAAAATAAATAAAATTGAAAACAGAGGAACATAAACAAAATCAAAAGCCTGTCTTTTGGTTTATATTATAAGGTGTAATGTAAATGTGAGTTCCGATGGAGGAGCTAGCTAATGCTTTCAAAAGCCAAGTCCCAAGAGAATGTTTTGATGCTTATACTGTTCACGTTGCGGCACATGCAACTCATTGTATAGGGGCATGGCACCTACAATGTAGGGTAGGTCCTAGACTGGGGATCACTTGCCCACCATCCTCATAACAAGACAAAGTTTTCATGTGGTTTGAGAAATATTATTCCTTCTATTCACAAAAGAGAAAGTAATATTTTGTTGTCGTTCCAAAAGGTTTTGGTCGTTTCAAAATCGAAACTAATTTATAGTTTCAAGATTATAAATATTAGCCACAGTTAAACAAAATTAATTATTTTAATAATTATCAGGTGTTTAATGATTTTCATGTATAGTTTTCATTTATTTATTTATTTTTCCCTTGGTTTCTAAGAAGCTTTAATGGCAAAATTTAGAGTAAATCAATTACTTTTTATTTAATACACCACAAAAAAAACGCCATTTTGCGACCGACAAATCGGTCGCAAAATGGCAAAAATCGGTCGCTATGTATACTTTGAGACCGATTTGCGACCGACAAACGTCGGTCGTCAATTTACTTTTTATTAATACACCACAAAAAACGCCATTTTTGCGACCGACAAATCGGTCCGGCAAAATGGCAAAAAATCGGTCGCTATGATATACTTTGAGACCGATTTTGCGACCGACAAACGTCGGGTCGGCAAAATCACTGTCGCAAATGTAATTGCGACCGATTGAGAAAATCCGGTCGCAAATTAGAGGACTGATAAGTCGGGGTCGCAAAATATTGAAAAAGCGGTCGCCAATCTTTGGTCGTGGTTGAATTGGAAATTCCAGTCGCAACTTTGTCGCCAGAATATCGGTTTTCGCCAATTTTTTTAAAAATCCGGGTCGCAAATCGGTCTCAAATTATAAATTCAAAAATTTTGTTTTTTGGTAATCAAATCGGTCGCAAATCGGTCGCAAAAACATGAAAAAGGAAATAAAAAAATTAAATATTATTTTGAAACCAAAATTTTTCTACACCTGTGAAGTTGACTAATGCCATATAACACACACGCAATCAAAAGAACAGCATATTAAAAATGTAATTTTTTATTGTTCTGAACAAATTAAAAAATGGAAAATACCAAAATTGAAAAATAAAAGGTCGAAATCAAATCTATATATGCTGCTGCTCATCTGCAGGATCCGACTGTCGGACCGCCGGAGGGGTCCTGCTGCGGATTGATGATGTAGCGCCAGGAAGGGGTGAGCAGGTTCGCCTGCAGCAGCGGATTCAGGAGCCCGATAGTGGCTGCTGCTGAGACGTCGAAACATGTCGGTCACTTAGCAGGCGCAGGATCAGAGGGAAGAAGTACCAGCACGGTCCTCAACCGGACAGCCGCAGCACATGCGCTCTAAGCTCGCTGCAATCTGTCGGAACTCTGCTGATCAGCAAGGCTGAGCCGTATATCATCAATCATAGTGCGAGCCAGTGTCTCCCCGGCTTGCGGTGCTGCGCTAGGCTGTAGAAGCGTGAGCTGCTGCAGCCAGCTGTAAAAACTGGTGATGCCTGAGACCCCATGCCGTATACTTCCTTTCTTCGTCGCCCCCTTACAGCCTCGAGATAAAGCGCTACCTCGTCAATTCTTGGACTCAGCTATCGGATTCATCGGTTCTTCGAGAAGTAACAATACGCTCCCGAGCTGGTTAGATATAGTCTCTCACCTGAAAATAAAAAATTAATTAATCAACAACTGCAATTGCAAGTTTTATTTATATTGAACTTTGTACTCTTCGCAATGATTAAGCCGGTAGCACATGTCTTAAATATTATTCATTGTTACTTACATTGGACGCTCAGCGCCAGGTCTGTCGAACCCAAAGGGTAATTACGATCGTTGGTCCTTCGTGTGAGTTGTATGTAAACACCTCCATTCGGTGTGGGGCTCACCATGACCTAATTCTTTAGCCTGTAATAAAATTTTTATTCATGATATATTAAGTATATAGATGTACTTTCATTAAACATCAGTGATTGTAAATGGACATAGGGGTCACTTACTAATAATCGGCTGTTCCTTTATAGCAGATTAGATCCGCCTGTGTGTCAGCGAAGGTCATCCTCCATCACGCCAGTCTTCACTGCCCTGTTTTTGATGCAAATTATCTCCCGCTTTCTCTTGAATGCAGGAATCCTCCCAAGGCCTTTTGCCAGCTCTCCCACTATCTCCCTGAGACACGCACTGCCTGCTTCTTACCGCTTTTTCTCATCCTATACGTTGAAGTCAGTCGTATCGATCGGCGCATATCTCTCTCCAGGCTACTTTCAACATGAAGCCTGTAATGCCTCGTCCCATTTTTGAATGTTTTCTGCAAAAATTGAAATACTAGCGTTTAAACACTAAGGATTTATCTTGAATTGTAAACATTGAATGATGATATAACTTCAAACCAAGAGTACCTGGAATCCTCCAATAAAAGTCTCTTGCCTCTTGTGGTTACGGCATTCCCATTGTGTATCCTTCTTTTATGCAGCTGTAGCTTGATCTATCTTCAAAAATTTTGCCTCGGCTTGTCGAGAAGATGGATATATCTGCTGAAAAAAAAACAGAAGTGAAATATAATTACACGAAGCATCACAGAAGATGAACAAACAAGTACAAAAATATAATTTACAAAATATGCCTACAGAAAATCTGAATAAGTATCTTACTGTCCCGTACCAAACTGAGGGTGATACGTTGGATCTGATTGAAGCTGCAAAATAAAATGACAAAATGTTATACATTTCTTAAATATTAATATGATAATGAATATGACAGTATATGACATTGATTGATTACCTTGCACAGTGGGTGACTGTGGCAGCTGCTGGAGTCTGTAATTGGTTCCAGAAATGGGGGTAGAAGAGGAAGAGCAGAAGAGGGAAGGGAGCAGAAGGCGTTTGATTGGCGGCCAGACGTACTGGACGCTGAGCAGAGGATGAAGCCCAGACGTACCTTGAAGAAGGATGTGATTGGCCGGCACAGTACCGGTCGCTGAGCACGAGGATGAGCCCAGACGTACCTGAAGAAGGATGTGATGGGCGCAGTATCCGGTCGCTGACAGATGCGAAGCCCAGACGTACCTGACGAAAGGACGACGGATGACCCTACTCTCCACGGCACTGCGGTCCAGGGTACACGACCTCCACCGCGAACCACTTGCCGGACGCGTCAGGAATCCACACGGCTCTGCCTCTAGCCATCTGTATGCAGATATCAGAACCTAGTAAAATTGAATTTATACAATATCATGAGATTGTAGAACATGTGTAAATACGAGCGTAAAACAAGTGAATACCATTGAATTCTCATTAATAATATTAATTGTAATATACATTTATTCAATTTTCTAACAGTAAAATTGCGTCTAAGTTTTAAGTGTCTTCAAATTCATCTGCTTCCTCCTCCTCTTCATAAGCCTTCCTCTTTCTTCATATTCGTCTTCTGAGTACCCATGAGGATTTGATCCTTCTTCCTTTTCATCAATTGATGCTCCTATTTCAACAAGATCGGCTTCATCATCCAACCTATCTGTTAAATCTTCAACAACTTGCATCGGTTGCGTTTTTCAACCCTAACTTCTTGAATTGCCTCCGATACTGCGAGTGAAGAGACTGTTTTCGTTTCAAGTGCATGAACAACTGATCTAGGCCTTTGATTTACACACTCCAATTCCAATCGCATCTATTCTCGTTTAAACGATGGATATGGGACTTAGTACATTGTGAGCTTTGCATTGCCAAAACAAAGTTCATACTTTTGATTTTTCTTTTTTTATTATTTATTTATTTTTTTTTTTTTTTTTATTTATCTCTATTCACTATTTATTTTCTTTTTTTGTACTGGTAATGCTTCTAGGATTTTACAGTCCAATAACGTGGGTGACTTGTGTTGGTACTTAGACCACTCCATGACTGCAAGTATCTATCTGACTTTAACTATGGTTA